GGTTGCAGCCTTAGCTTTCCTGGCTTGCTCCCTATACGTACAGACCAGTGCAGATTACTCCTCCTTTGTGGCGATTCCTATTTTCCATCCTTTATAAGCCTCTCTTTATTGGCGTAGGAGGTCCATGAGTTCCCTGATGAGCCAGGGGGATTGCTGTGCCCTTTTGCTACGTTTCCTCCAAGATGGGATGAACATCCCTTGTGCTTTCAGGATCACTCCCTTAAGGAGCAACCACTCCTCTTGGGCTCCTCTCTGTCAAGTCATGGTCCCTTAGGGCCTTGTCAACAATCCTCCTGAGCTTATCAGAGTCTGCTTTCCTGAAGTCGAGGACTTCTGCATTGCTGACTGACTTGCCAGCTTTGCGATGATAGTAAAACGATCAGCTCGTGGTCACCGTCTCCCAGCTTTCCTTTTGATTTTTGTTGTTTTGTTTTGTTTTGTTTTAGGTTGCTGACTAGATCACCCCCTTTAGCCAGTACCAGGTCCAGTAGCACTTTACCTCTTGTTGGTCCATAGACTTCTTGGGTCAGGTAGAGTTCGTCCACGCACATGAGGAAGCTTTGTGACCATTCGGATTTGCCCGAGTGCTCTTCCCATGAGATGTCCAAGTAGCTGAAGTCTTCCATGACAACCATGCTCTGAGAGCGTGTAGCCTCAGCTAGTCCCCTGGCTAATTCCTGGTCAAGCTCTTGTTCCTGGTTAAGAGGTCGTTAGTAGACTCCTACCATTCTGTCCCCTGTGCCACATTCCCACATACTTTAACATAGCTATACCCCCACCTCTTTTATCTGCGTGATGTCTTCTATATAGGGTATAGCCGTATACCTGTGACCCAGTCACAGGTGGAGTCCCACCAGGTCTCCATTATTCCTATGCGATTGTAGTCATTCTTGTTTAGTAGGAGGACCGGTTCCTCCTGTTTGTTCCTTAAGCTCCTGGCATTGGTGTACAGACACACAAGCATCCCATTGGAAGCCCTAGGCTTCCTTGCATTCCCAGGAGGACACCATTCCAGGGTTGGGGAGGGAGTAGATTTCCTTGGGTGCCCTAACCTTTGGTTTTGTAGTTGTTGTCTAGTGGGCTTGCTTTGGTGGTTGTCCACCCATCCGCTGGTGGGCTTAGTTTAAAGCCAGGTGGAGCAGGTCAGCCATTCTGGCTGAGAGGAGCTTCCTCCCCAGTGAAGTGAGGTGGAGGTCATCTCTTCCCAGCAGACCACTGTCTCTCTCCAAAAGAGCAGGCTGTGATCGTGGAAGCCTCAAATGACTTATTTTCCTAGCCCTTGATCATCTCCACATGCTTGCTTCCAGGATATGGTGGATGATCTTGCCTCAGGCTGGGGTTTGGAATAGATGACCCATGGAGGTCCCTCTCTATGATTCTGAGTTTTGAAGCAGCTATAGCAACTCCCTTTAAAATGGAGCTTCCAAGATGACAGGGTTTTCTGCTGAACAGTAGGACTGTGCGAAGCTTCGAGTGCTGATTCAATTCAGAGGAGGTTTGGCCCAATTTGCCGGCTGAATCTCCAAATCCGAATCGAATCAGGGGACCAGTTTAAAAGGTCTGAATCGATTCAAAGCTCTCCAAATCTTCAGAAAAGGTTTGGAGAGCTTCGGCGATTCGGCAGTCCCTGCCTCGTGCAGTAGGGAGCTGGACCCGGACTCCATGTTGGTAAGTAGGGGGTGGGGCAGAGGGGGCTGGATGAAGGGGGAGGGGATCCCAGCCAGGCCTCATCCCCTGCCTGCTCCTTCAGCTCTCCCGGCCCTCTGCCATGGCTGCCCCGCCTGCCCCAGCTTCTGGTGGTTTTAAAAAAAAAAAAGCCCTACTCACCAGGTGCTGCCAAGCGGGGGTAATCCCTGCCACCCCACACTGCCCCATGCCACATGGGGGGGCTCTGCCACAAGCCCCCATCCCCCCCTTAGCCCCCCTGCCATAGCTGCCCTGTCTGCCCCAGCTCCCGACCCTTTAAGGAAAAACAAAGAAACCTGCACTCACAGGCTCCTACAGCAGCCTCGGGGTTTCTGGGGGCTCATGCAGAGCCCCCCACACAGCACAAGGCAGTGGGGGGGAGTGGGGATCACCCCCTGCCAGGCAGCACCTAGTGAGTATGGGCTTTGTTTGTTGCTTTTCTTTTTAAAGGGCCAGGAGCTTGGGCGAGCAGGGCAGCCGGGGCTGGGGGAGCAAGCAAGGGTCAGGGGACTCGTGACGGAGCCCCCCATATAGTGTGGGGCAGTGGGGATCACCCCCCACCTGGCAGCACCCAGTGAGTCGGGGCTTTTTTTTCCACAAGTGCTGGAAGCTGGGGCGGGCGAGGCAGCCGTTGCCAGGCTGGGAGAGTGAGCAGGGGATAGGCGTGTGTGATACAGAGATTTGGCTGATTCGGCAGGAGCCAAATCTCCAAATCGGATTCAGCCAAATGGATTTGGGACAGTGATTCGAATCACCAAATCAGTTCGCTGTCCCCCAAATCAACCAAATCCCAAGCAAATACTAGCCACTTTGCACAGGCCTATTGAACAGCTGTAACTGGAAGTGCCACTGTGGAGCCTTTTAATGCTGTAAGAAAGTTAAGAATGGGAATCTGCCAGGAATAGTAATTCCTAAGGAGCAAGGGTGGACCATGTCAGTAACCCATGTATATCCTTGTATTGTAGTCAAACACTCTGGTATCAACACTGACGTGTTCTTTGGCATGGGCGACTGGTGCCTCCCGAGTCTGGGGGCCCCCCAGCAGCCAATCACCAAATGGGGGCGGGTGCCCCAGCAGCTGACTGGGGGGGTCCCCCATTGGCCAGTTGCCAACCCCAGAAGTGCCAGCAGCAAAACCAGAATTGCTGCTGGCATTTCTCTCGGCACCCCCACTCCTCGACCAGTGAGGGCCAATCTCAGGGGGTGGCACATGCCCCCCCGGGGCCCCCCACACACGTCGCCCATGTTCTTTGGTTTGTCAGTGACATGATTCAGCCATACGCAAATATTGTTAGGAAAAGGACTCATTTTTTTGTCACTTAAGTTGCAGGTAAATTGTTTCTACATTGTCCTGGCATAAATGCATTTCAGTATCTTTTCTGAGAACCAGTTTGGTTGGAAAAACTGGCTTCAAAATTCAAGTAGTAAAACTGAGTAGGTTTTGAGATCACAGCAAAGCGTTTAAGAACAGAGAGCAGCTGACCTGAACACTTGTGAAAACTGTGTGCGTGTGTGTCATGGCACTAAGTGAAGGTGTTGGCTGCTGCACTGAAGCGTATGTATTTCATTTATTCTCCACAAGACAAACATAAATTAATAGTCAGTATTTCTCAGTAGCATGGAGAGCCCATTTCTTTTTGAAATTAGTTCTTGAATCTTGGTACCATTCTGAATAATTTGATTCTTTATGTCAGTATTGAACTTGCTCAACTTGTGATTTTAAATGCCCTTTAAGCCAAAGATCTGAATTGAAATGGAGAGTAGCATCCTATGTTTTGAAGGGCACAGCACATTTTCTGGACCAGCAAAAAGGGGGTTTCAGGTTTCTTCAGTGTAGAATATCCAGGCATCTCGTTATAAGAACTGTGGATGCTGTTGAGTTATTGGGTTCCATGGTTATATGGGTTGGTGACTTTGCAGTGGAAGATTCATACCACAGGGTAGGGGGTGAACAAGGTTCTTCATGTCACCAGTTGCTGGTCTTCTTTCAGGAGGGGCGGCCCGATCACCTTCACTTCAAGTCGATCTGGAAGACGCCAGCTGCACATTGAAGGTGCTTCTCTGGAACTTTCAGACGACGACGCAGAAAGCAAAGGCAGTGATATCAATGAAATGCAGCCTGCCCAAGCTGAGTAGAGCCAAATCGCACCATTGCATGCAGAGACCTTTTTCATAATAGTCAGTGGAGTGAGGAGGACTTATTTCTGACCACGAAACTGCCTTGTGGCCATAAATCTGCCTTAGATAAAATTGGCATGCTACAAGGTTACATATCATAAGTCAACTCTGTCTTAAGGCTGTCTAGCCTCACCATACTGTACCCAGCTTAAGATACAGGTACAACTGCTTTTTTATATATAGTAAACTAAATGAAATTGTCTCTGTTCAGTGCATCTATTTTCCAGATATTCATTGTAAAGCCATTTTATAAAGCATCATGTGAAGGATAAGACTTTTTTTTTCCGATTCAGAAACTTCATTCCCAGATGGTAGTTGGTTGGGGCAGACCTGTTATCATTACTGTGCATGCTTTGCTGTACAAACACCACCCTTCCATTTCTTTTTGGCTCATCATGGCCCATGGCTGTATCAAGTATGTTGGAACATTAAAGACCAAACTGCATCTGTATCTTTCTTTTTCTCCCAGCTGTTGTGATCAACACACAATCAGCAAGTGAACTGTGAAAAGGCCTTGGAAAGTATTAAGAGGAGAAATCTAGGGTTGAATGAGTAGTATCCATTTTTAACCTGCAATAAGATTTTGAAGTGTTCTCAGTATCTGATTTTATCAGTTAGTACATGGACAATAAAGGTGAATTACAGTAGCTTCACCAGTCTTAATCACTACAGTATTTTGCATGTGTAGACCTGCTATCACTGCTCCCAAGACAGCTGTACATATTAAGGCTAGTATAATATGAACACCAGTTAAGTGATAATAAACATACAACATCCATTCATTTTTATCTTGAGCCTATTATTTTGTGGCTGATTTAGTCTTTGGAACATGGAGCTGAAGAGCTGCTTCTTCCCCTTGATGTGATAGTTTCATAGCAAAGAAGTTTTCACCTTATGGCTACCTTAGCCAGCCTAGTGTCACTAATATAGAGTAGGCACACTTGCCTGCTGTTATGAACATAAAATGGCAGGACCATCTGTACTGTATGACACTTCTAGCTTGTTTGGAGGCTGTGGTTTACAGAGGCTAAAAGGTCGATATTACTTGTCTGAGTTGACATGCCAGTTGATGTGAATCCTTTCTTTTCTTTTTTCTTTTGAACAGTATTACAGCAAATAGTTAGCCTTCTTTTTTTTTTTTCTTTTTTTTTTTTGTTTAAATAGCTGCAAAATTGTCATTAAAGTGCCTTAGACACTACAGTACTAAGACAATGTTACATATATAATTTGCCTATATAACAATGACTTAATGTATTAATTTTTGACTGTGCTTCATATCATGTACCTCTAGTCAAAGTGGTATTATTGATATTTGGTGACAATGAATCAGTGTTAACTATGAAATTTCGTTCCTCTGCCACATGCTCAAAATAATAATTTCTTTTTGGTTAAAAGCTTTAACATCTGTTACAAAGGTTTTGTTGTGCGTGTTTGGATATTTTTAATCAAACTGGCTGTTGACCACCAAGCATCTGACTGCAAATATCCTGTTTTCTTGTATACCCATATTTCTAGACAATGATTTTTGTAAGACAATAAATTTATTCATTATAGATCTGGATGCCTGCTCTGTTTACTTACAGGAAAACCTATCTCTTGATGCTGACATAAAATTTAATAAACAAGAATATGACTGGAAGCCGCCTATTCCCTCCTTACTGGTTTGATTTTATGTTGACCTCTGTACATAAAGGGTCTGTCCTAAACCTCTTGGGGCTTTAACATGGTTAACCCATGATTACATATTGCAGTTTTAGTAGATACTCTCTTCATCATTTGAAATTCAATTGAAATTCATATGTGGGCAGGTAAATGGCACTGCATCCAGGAGCTGCTCTGCAACAACTAAGAGACTATGCAACACATGAAATAATTTAAACTAGTAATGCTCAACCTCTGGCTGAATCCAGCCTCCAGGGCCATGTTAGCAAGCACGTGGGACTCCCTACAGGTCCAGAAGTGTGGTAGCAACTTTGTCTTGGCTGCTAAAGCCAGTTATTAATGCAGCTACTGTTTCCAGCCCCATGTGCCAGACTGTGCCAGCCTGCAGTGTCTCTTTAGCTGGATCCAGCACATGAACCTACAGACTATACCCACACTGACCCCATGTGGTATGTCCAAGCTCCATGTCACTCATCCAGCCTGCAAGGCCAAAATGTTGAGCACTGCTGACTTAACACTAAGTGCTATTCCTTAGGGCATAGGCAGACAAGGTTCCTTGGGTGAATCTTTTATTAGACCAACCCAAATAGCTGGAGAATAGTTATTAAGCAAGCTTTTGGGTTCAAAAACCCTTCGTCAGGCTAAGGAAGTTTCAGCGGTTGGTATGTTACGGCAATGGTTTGAGTTGAAACCTGAGTGAAAACCTGAAAACTATCACGGTTAAACAATGTCAAACAGTGAATGGAGAAACAAGACCTGATATGCAGATGCCCAGAAGCGATACAGTTGAAATTCCTTATCACAGACCTCTGCGTTTAGTTGTGGAGGTCTTTATGGCCAGCCCCTTCATTAACATATACCAAATCAAAGTGCAGGCAGATGCATGTCATCATCAATGATTATATCCAACAGGAGGTTGAGGCATTCAGGATCTGAAGAATCCAGCAAGAGCTCAAAGGGGGGGGTCTAGCCTCTCTCTCTCCTCCCAGGTATGAGCCCCCACCCCTGCCTGATCCAAATGCTTGTTAAATTTTTGTTTAGCTTTTCCAATAAAGTGATTCTCTTGAAAAGATAGGCGCGCACACTTTCTTTATTCTGGGACCACATCTGACAATATAAACCCACCTTGTCCTATTCTGGAGATGGAAAGGTGAGGTAAAGTTCTCTAATGGCAAGGGAAGACAGAAAACATAACGGCATTTGGCAGACCAGGGAAAAGGTTACTCTGTATTTTACCCCAGCTGCTGCTGTAGGCTGCAGACTCTTCCAAGGGCCTCTGTAGTTATGAACACCCCCATGAAAGTGAGTGAATCTGCTTCAATCTCACATGAAGCCTGAAATTGTTTGTTGTCTCCGAGACCAGCTCAGCAAACTGGCTGCTTTTCAGGAAAGGATCCATCAGAGGTAAAAACATGGAACATGATCTCAACTTACTTTTCTGAAAAAGCCACTGGTTCCACATTAAAAGAACTTTATTTTTGAAAGATTTCTCTCTCTCTTTTTAGACCACATGATCTTGGTGCCGCTGTATTAATGGTATGCCATCTTATTTAAACATGCCATAGAGATTCTGAATAAATAAAGCTACAAAGCCCAAGTTATATACAAATATCTTAGGCAAAGATATTATGTTTACAAACCTATATACAATAAAACAAATGTAAACAGTCAAATGCAGCAAAGGATGCACAGGAAAAAGGGATGTACAAAACCCTGATGGGACGTGGTGAATCCGCACTGCCCTCTCTTCCTCGTGGGCAAGAGTCTTTCTTAGTCAGCATTCGTAAATGAGCCACAGAGCTCCTAGAAATTGAATCTGCAAAGCTAAATGGATGTGATGGAATAGATTGGACAGGAATATTTTTAAACTCACAGACCAAACCACTGTCGGGCTTCCTTGTTCATTTTAAAATCCACCGACTTTGAGGCACATATAAAGACAGAGAAATTGCACAAATACATTGCTTTAAAGACCCACAAGGTACATAATGGTCCAAAACTGTCACAAAAGCCCATAGGTGACACTATAAAATCTAGTCTTTATATATTACACAGACTTGAACAGTTTGAATGCTTTTGAGGGGCTATACCAATCAAATTGGTGACTTGTTTAGGTCTCAAATCAAGACTCCTTTGATGCATAAAAGTTTCATTAACAAGGAAGATTAAACTTATTTGAGGCAAGGAGTATTAATCCAAGATGCAACTGTCCAATAGGATTAATGTCTAATCCTTACCAAACATCCCTTTAAAATAATTCCTGATAGCACCCTGTCTGCGTGCGTCTTAAAAGCCAGGTTGCTGGTGGGGGCAGGATTTGTAAGTAGAGTCAGTCAGAGTGTGTGCTCTATTAAACCTAAGATAGAAAAGTTACCAAGGGTTTAGGACTGACTTGTCAAGTTCTAAGCAGTGAGACTCCTGTGACCAGTGAAACAGAATAATACACTTATCAGCTTATGTGAGACAGAATAGATGTGACCATGTTAGAGAATGTTCACTACGGGAAGAGGAGAAAATAAACTCTTTTACAGTTGAGTGAAGGGCTGTGTGTGCTGGGGTCTCCTCTGGGCAGCAGGCAGGCAGCAGGGCCATTCTGCACGGCAAGGGGCAGTAACAGGAAGGAATTAGAAGCAGTTCTTGTTTGTCTGAGAAAATGATTCAAAGTCCAAACCCAACCTCCTGGCTGTTCATACACTCAGAGGGAGCATTCCTGGAGCTGAAGATGGTCTGGAGGATCCGATGCCTGGCGGCGGGCCTTGGTCAAAACCATTTACTGCCCTGCAGAACAAAAGAGGAACAGGGGGTTGGTCAGCAAGCAGCAGCAGGAATAACCCATAGTTAGTGTATCCATACTCCCTCCCCCATAATGGTTGAAAAAATGGGAACCTGCTGTTGGCTCTAAGCAGCCCCCCAGCCTCAAACTGCATCTCTCAAGCAACAGGCTACCTAGCTCCCAGTCTCACTAAGGCACAAAGCTGTGCAGTAGATCCAGCTGCCTTCTGTGCCCCAACATCAATACAGACCACATCATCACTGGATCAAATAACACAAATTATAACATCCGATTTGCAATCCTACCAATGTCATGTATGCTGCCATCACTTGCTCACAGATGGGACGATCCTTACGTGGCAGAATGAGCAAATATGAACCTGACACCCACACCAGAAGGACATGAAGGCCTGTGACAGAGCACATTAACCTCCCAGGACACCGCATCACTGACCTGAGGACAGCTGTTCTCAGGCAGCAAACTTTTAAAAAACAATCTGAGCTGGAAACTGGAACAAGAAATCACCCACAGACCGGACTGTATCAAGTGTGGTTTAAACAGGGACCATGGAGGCTTCTCTCATTACCTGGATTAGTTCTTGTGACTTCATTCCCATGGGTTTATTGCTTGCATGTTTGCCTCTCCCAGCACTGCCCTACCTTCTGCTTTTATATTCATGTATCTCTCCTCCTTATACACAGTTTTGTGCAGTCCCTTCACAGCATCTGCTGGAGTGAGCTTCAGTGCACAAAAGCTTGTGCTGTATATCTACCTACTTGGGTTAATCTCTAGCATGCAAATCTACCCTGCCTTCTAGAAAGGGTGTTGCAGCCTCCATAGGTGCAGGCCTCCTGCCTGGAGTCTAACAATGATTCCACACTGACACGATCAAAGCTTGCTGACCACTAGAAAGTAACTTCCCTGCTGAACAGATGGGAGCATGCGCCACCACGGCTCTC